ACTATAGTGGAATACTATAGTGAAATACTATGGAGGAATACTGTAGCGGCGCGTGAGACCTATTCATGTGGGAGTAATCATGTGGTGGAGAAATCCGATGATGCATATTGATTTGTCTTTTGATTGATGATTTAGAGGCGGATTTTGGTGATCCAGGAGTCATTCCTAGGGTTTTTGATGTGCTGAGTTCATTTTTAATATCGGTTTTATCAAATTCAATCTTTAAAGTGATTGATTTGAATTTTAATTATGGTTAGAGAATGATGACTTCTTCGGATCTAAAATTCGATATTCCGCTATTCAATAGTAAGACAAATTTTATAGTATGGCAGTGCATGGTTCAAGATATTCTTATATAGCAAGGTATTGATCAAGCTTTGAAGGAGAAGAAACCTGAAGGATTGAATGATACCGAATGGAGCTCCATACAAAAGAGGGCGGTTAGCACAATTCGTTTAGCACTCGCCCTCGAGATCAAGTACAATACTATGCAAGAGACCACACTAAGAGGATTGTGGGAATGGCTCGAGGGGATTTATATGTCAAAGTCGATGACCAACTGATTGTGTTTGAGGATAGAGCTATATTCATTGGAGATGGAAGAAGATACAGCAATTCAAGATCATATCAATACCTTTAACCAACTAGGTTGTTAATTTATGAATATTGATGAGGAGATTAAAGAAAAAGAGCAAGCGCTACTCCTATTGTCTTCCTTGCCGAAATTGTACAAACCGTTAGTTCAAATAATAATTGTAGGGAAGCAAACTTTAAAGTTTGACGATGTAACAGCACTCCTATGTGAGAATGAAAGATTGATGGAAAAGGAGAGCTCATCTAATGATTATGAGAGTGCACTAGATTTTGAATGTTCTAATTGAGGGAGGAGTATGGGGAGATGTGATAGTTATCGAGGATTGTCAAAATCCTGGGCCCGAGACTACAGCAAAAGGGAGTGTTGTTATTACGTAGAGAAGGGTCACATTCAGTTCAGATATTCCCAGATGCGTGATGATTTGAAGAGTATTAGACATATGAAGTTTTAAGAAAATAGGAAGAAGACGGACTCCTCAGTGGTTGTGTGTGATGAAGATGTGGTGTTGTTGATGTAGAGTATATGTACCGATGCGAATAACACTTGGGTGTTAGATTCTGTAGCCTCTATGCACGTTTACAATAATAAAAATTATTTTAACACATTGAAGACAGATTAAGAATTTGACGACGTGTTGGTTGGAAACAACAAGAAGATGAAGGTTGAAGGTGTTGGAAGTGTTCGCCTCAAGCTTCATACTGAGAATATGAAGGTTGAAGGTGCTAATTTAATTTCGTTGGGCGAGAAGGTATCGCATGGATATAAGTATGTGGGTGAGCGAGAGTGGTGCAAAGTGTATAAAGATGGTGATTTGATTTTACGAGGGAGGAAGAATATCAACCATATTTTCTATTTAGATGAGCGATCTGTTAATGGTGTAGATGACTCTTCTTAGACTCTTGTTCACAAGGGAGAGGTGAATAACAAGAAGAAGATAGTTAGTTTTTCTAAAGTCATTGAGACACTTGGAGATTTTTCGTTGAGGGAGGATATGTTGGGTATCAACTCAAACTCCAAGTTAGGATTGTGTGTTTGATTCTTTATATAACTTCATGAGATTTAGATAGGGTTAGAGATCTATCATGATTAGAAGTTTGAGTTTCATAATGATTAGGAGTTTGAATCCTATTCTAATTAGGAAGTTAGGCTAGAGATAGGGTTTTGGTTTCCCTGTATATATTCTTCTATTGTTGGAGGAAAAATAAAGAATAGGAGAGAGAGCTAATATTCTTGTAATCTAGGGTTAGCAGATGGTGTAGCCTGATTCAAGAATATTGTGCGAAAGACGATGGTTTCGCGGTCTTTGTCCGTTCAAAAAATTACATCATTAGGAGAAGGTTTCACAGTCTTTGTCCGTTCAAAAGATTGTAAAGTGATGGCTTTTGAGATAATATGAGAGTTGATTATGTATGTGAGGTTAAGAGATTGAGAGACGAGAGTTTAGTGGTTCCTCTTATAGTTCTCCCTGATACATAGTGGATTTCCTGTATTGTTGTCCGTGGACATAGGTCGAAGTTGGTCAACTGAACCACGTAAATCTTGGTGTTCTTTATTCTTGATTGTGATTATTTTATATCTTATTGATCGTGGGTTGGCTTCCAAGTTGCGAAGATCGTAGTACGCGGGGAGACTAAAATTCCCCAACATTTGGGGCTGTTGATGGCTGGAGTTCATGTGAACTGGAAGTTCACTATTTTGGGCTATTTTGTGGCTGAAGTTTGTGGTAGTTTGGTTGACTGGAGGGAGTTACGACTGAGGAGGCAAGAGGGGAGGGGTGAACTGGTTGAGGATGTGTGTAATTAAAAAGGGGAACATGAGAATAAATTATAAATTTATACCAAAAAACGGTGAAAGGTGGTTGATCTAAAGCTAAATTTATTTTATTAGTGGTTTCTGTATAAAATAAAATTTGAGGATAATTCTTATATAACCATTCTATTTTACCGTCCCCTGTAGAATTCTGAATAATCTAAGTTATGATATCTATACAATGAAAATATCATAGTCGTATTCATAATCATCTAATAATATTTAAACAACTGTAATATATGCTTACATGAGTAAGGTTACACTATAATAATTGTAATTATTTACATTTTTACCAAATAAAATTATGATTATAATCATTGATCATACAATAACGATTATAATCAAACATGCAAGTAGTCTCTTAGTTTATTTCCTGATTACATGACTAAATGGCACTGTATCAATTTCTCCTTTATATTAGAAGTAAAAATGTTTTTTCTGACATTGGTCCATGAAATGATGCCTAATGCAAAATAGGCATATGAAAAATTAAATTATAAAATTAATGCCTCGTATCCTCTAAGCCATTCAAAATAGGGCCATGCCAGTGTTTTCGACTAAACTCTTAACTTGTATGGGGCTCATTATCCGCTAAAAGTAACCTTGTTCGAGTTATCCCTATGTTCATAAACTAGAGCAATAAGATGCCACAAAACTTGACAATAGCTAACATCGGTAGTTGTATTTGGAGGTTGTTAACAATGGCATCTGCAAGCGGCATGGTAGGTGATGGTGGCATTGTTTTAAATATCCCTGACATGACTCGATATATCCCCCGATATATCCTTTTATAGGGCTTGCCGTAACCGATATGGTCTTTAAATATCCTTTACCGCTTTTTGGCTATTTTGAGTGATAAATCCCCGATATGACTGATATATTAGCCTATATGTGGACCAATATATCTTTTTATATAGCTTGTTGCAAAATAATATACCGTGTTTGGAATTTTTGGACGAGATATCAAGATTTTCCCATTATATCAAATGACATTTTACCCTAAAAAAAGCAGATCGAATGTTGCAACGTTGCTTTGCACTTTTGTTTGTTTTAGAAGGTTGATTAGTGATCATAAACATATATTATTCATATTTTGTATGCTTAAATTTCATTACATATGTTGAGATTACATTTTAATGCATTATACTATATATGTATGCAAACATTCATTATGACATTCCGATATTTACCACATATCCCCGATATTTTCCCGATATCCGTAATCCGATATGAATTTTGGCCATCCGATATTTCCCCGATATCCGATATTTAAAACCTTGGATGGTGGTGGTCGCCACCAGTAGTTTAGCGTAAACAATATCATCTAATAATATAACAAGAACAACAAATATGTGTAGCTTTATAGCTTAAAATAATATATTTTAACTAAAATGACAATTTCTGCTTTGACTTAAAAGATTTTCAGAGCTTACTTTACAATTACTAATTAGTCATAGTTTGGAGGGGTTTTCCTTTTGAAAAATTTGCTTCTAGGCCCAAAAATTCTAGTTTCAATGTACCCCAGTCCTTCACATTTTTTAATGTGTCGTGGCCCTTTAAAAAAAAAACTATGTCCAGGGCCCTCCGTCATGATTCCACCTCATGATTAGATATGTCAGCTCCTAAAATCCCAATTTTTCCCTTTTATTTTCTCATGCTAGCTCATGTTAATTATTATAGATAACATGTTAACTGTTATAGATAACATGTTAACTGTTATAGATAATATGTTAACTATTATAATTTTATAAATATGTTTTGAGCTCAATGTGTGAACTGTAATAGTTAACATGTTACCTATAATAGTTAACATGTTACCTATAATAGTTAACATGTTAACTATAATAGTTAACATGTTAACTATAATAGGACACGAAGTTACTCGGGCCGACGCCGGTGGCGGAGCGGTGGAGGGAGGTGGGGGAGGGGGACCGAAGGAGGAGGAGAGAGGTGTAGGGGGAGGTGCAGCAAGGGATGTATATGGGAGAGGGTAAAATCGGGATTTTGGAGGAGGTTGCATTGGAACTTGGGGAGAGGGGTCTAGACACAATTTTTTTCAAATTATAGGGGTTGCAACACATTGAGGGAAGTTGGGAGGCTGGGACACATTAAAACTTGAATTTTAAAGTCTTGAAACAATTTTTTTCCTTTTCTTTTTTAATAGAAATCACCTTTAAAGTTGGTTTACATGTAAATTTACAACCAAAGATGATTTATAAAAAATGATCCCATATTAAAATCGATTTCTACGTAAAAACCCTATTTCCGAGAAAGAATAGCAAGGAGGAAAAAAAGATAAAAAAAAATAAAAGAAGAAGTAAGGTCCAAAATATCGCTGCCTTAAGTTGGCCTTGGAAAACCAGCCCACCGAACCCCAAAAAACACAACTCCCATCATTTCCCACACCCCAATGTCCCCATCTGCCATCATTTTCAGTTAGAAGACAAGTTTCAAAGGAAACGAATGGGGTGAACACAAACTAAAAACTAAACACTCGGGACGCTGAGACCTCCTTGATGTGTGTGTAACGTGACTTTGTGCGTGTATGTTTTTCTCGCCCATCTTCGATGTAGGGTAACAGTCACTCTCTCCTATGATATTATTATTAACGCATCCCCTCACTCAAAAAGATTCAATACACTTTTGGGTTCAATCAGCTATCACCTGTTCTTGTCAAAAGGGCTACCCTCTCTCTCTCTCTCTCATTTCAAACAGTGATTTAACACCACACCGCTCCCTCTCCTCGTTGGTTGGCACAGTGAGGTGGACTTGAAAGAAAGCACACATCTTTTCCTGTCCATTAGAGATCTCTCTCTCTCTCTCTATCTCTCAGTCACTAGCTCTGGTTGCTCAAATCCTAGCTCTCCTTTGTGGTTGTCTCTTTTTTTTTCCCCCTTTGATTGCTCTGGGGATTATGGGTTCGTTGGGAGGAGCATCCCTTGAGGTGGTGAAGAGGAAGAAGGCAATGTGGCTTTACCCAAAAGTGGTGGGCTTCAACCCCCCTGAGAGATGGGGGCACTCTGCTTGCTTATCTGATGGCCTTCTTTATGTTTTCGGGGTAAA